CGTCCGGGATCTGGATTTTATAGTCTCTGAGTCTTGGCCGCTGATGGGATTACACGGCGCCAGGGGGCCAGGTGGTGGGTGTGACCCCGCCTACTGGAATTTGGAGGATCTGGGTGGAAGATGCTCGACTCCAATTCGAGTAGGCTTGGAGGTCTCGGCCCCGGAACCCGCGTGGCTTTGTCCCTCTGCCAGTACCTTCATGTGTGTGGAGAGTGGTCTCAGCATGGTGGTGGCTGGTCCTGGAGGTCTCCGGCTGCCGTAGCCCTGGTCGGGGTGGGGAGGAAAGCTCAACCCGCTCCCCTCCAAGGGACTCCGGGAAGGAACACCGAAGCGCGGGGGCAGAGACTGCACTGCTCTCGTCCGGGATCTGGATTTTATAGTCTCTGAGTCTTGGCCGCTGATGGGATTACACGGCGCCAGGGGGCCAGGTGGTGGGTGTGACCCCGCCTACTGGAATTTGGAGGATCTGGGTGGAAGATGCTCGACTCCAATTCGAGTAGGCTTGGAGGTCTCGGCCCCGGAACCCGCGTGGCTTTGTCCCTCTGCCAGTACCTTCATGTGTGTGGAGAGTGGTCTCAGCATGGTGGTGGCTGGTCCTGGAGGTCTCCGGCTGCCGTAGCCCTGGTCGGGGTGGGGAGGAAAGCTCAACCCGCTCCCCTCCAAGGGACTCCGGGAAGGAACACCGAAGCGCGGGGGCAGAGACTGCACTGCTCTCGTCCGGGATCTGGATTTTATAGTCTCTGAGGATTGGCCGCTGATGGGATTACACGGCGCCAGGGGGCCCGAGCATTGCTTGGGAGACCCTTATTCCAAACGATCTCTTTAGAGTATAGATTAGGGGGTGGCGTTTGGCATCAGAGCCATGCTATTTAGCTTGTTTGTTTTAGAATCTCCCCGGGTGGTGCTTGGGGTTAGTGTGGTGCCATGGGTTGATCTTGGGGCCTTTTCATGCCAGGCATTTGCTTAGCCCTTTCAACCATCTTCCTGGCCCAAGGCCTCCTTGTTATACTCATTTCTAATGTTGTCACTGTTAGCATTAGTATGGACAGATGAAAACTTTGGGTGTTGTTGAAATTCAGTTCCCCAATTTATTTCTTAGGTTCTCAAATTTCTGCTTATCCTAGTTCCATTGCTTGATGCGCTGGAGTTTCCTCTACTCACTGCTCTAGTCTCAACTCACAAATCTTTGCTCACTTTAGAAAAAAGTCTTCAAAATTGTTTACAAAGCTCTAACGATTGCATTTCGTAAACAGAACTTAATCTGCTCAGGGCTGCACATGAAGGTTTGTCAAAGGGTTAAATCTGATTGGTTTAGTGGGAAGAACATGGTTATTTTTATGATATTAAACATAAATCAATTTTTTTTATTCTTTGGTAAATGAAATAAGGCTTTATAAATGTCCACTTGGCCCTGTGGTTTTAATTTCATTTCATCCTTTCTCTGGGAATAGGTTCTCATGATAGGAATATGAATTCATTATAGGAGATGAAATGAAAGTGCTCCAGAAAGTCTAAAGTACTTCATTATTATTTCATGATTCATCGTGAATAAATAGAGAGTTTTATAGATAAAGAATACAAACATATTTGGGATTTTTTTCTAATTTAATCAATATATTGATGCAAGAATTATATATTTTACTCTATATTGATATTATTTAGTTTGATAGATTGATAAATATTAGAAATGTAGTTAAATTGCAAATAATTTTAAATTATGCATCTCATTTTTCTATTTATTTCTTGAGTTACAATGACTTAATATTGTAGTCATTTCAAATATAAAACAAAATGGTTCACAATTGTGAAATAAGCACCATTATAAGTCTAGCTAACATCCATCTCCATACATAGAACAAAAATATTTTCTTGGGATAACTTTAGATCTATTCTGTGATGTACTTTCAAGTATGCATTATAATATTACCAATTGTAATTGTTTATGTCTAAGAAGGTACTTTTCCTGCTTTGTTTCAGTCAAGAAACTCAGATCTAATTCAGCACATTTCAGAGAAACATTAACTTAGGGAATTCTTAGAAAATCCTCTCAATGTTGCAGTAATGAAAAATTAAAGAGAAAAGCTAAGATTTTTAAAGAACTAATTATTTTTCTTATTACATTATGGAAGTTAAAAATCATAGGTGAGCTGAAAAGCACTATGATGGACATTGGGAAAAGCAATTTTTGTCAGCATAAAATAGTCATAAACCTCAGTACACACTGACCTGTCCACAGCAATCAGAGCTGGGGACCACTTAGCCGGGGCACCCTGCTGCCACCGAGCAACCAGGAATGGCAGCACGCTGTGACAGTCCTCTTCAAGAATGCCATGAGTCAGAGGTGGAAAACAATGTCAGGTCTCGTATAAGGGCTGCAGGTGCTTCGTCATTTTATTTGGTGATTCACACCCCTACCTACATACTTAGTGGCAGCATAAAATCACTAAATTTTCCATCGCAACGATTATTTATCTCTTGCAAAGTAAATGCAGCATTGATAGAATCTACCCTAAAACATCTGCAAAGTCTAAAAACCAAGGCACATTTTAGCCCAGTGTATTTATATGTTGGTTTGTTGATCCTTTCCCGTGAAAGCAGAAGGTTGGGCTGATGTGGAAGATAAGCATCCCATTCAAACGTAGAAATCTTCAGTACAGCATAACTCTGAAAGCTACATATTTAACATGGCCTGAGAGAAAGAAAAAAAAAACTTCTGAGAGTTCAGAGTTTGAACTCTAAGTGTGGATATTACGAACTGAAGCTCTGCCGGAATAGGTCTGGCACAAACTAAGGGTCTTAGGTTTTAGCTTTATATCAAGGGTAGATCTGGAAAGACATCCCATGAGTCCATCTAGAAACTTAATACAGAGAATAGAGAAAAGACAAATACTATCTCCACTCTATGCTCTTTGGTGGTGAAAGACACACACACACACACACACACACACACACACTCACATATGCACACCCTCACAAATATGAAATATATATATTAAAAAGTATTTCCCAAATTAACCGTTCTCAATACCTACAGAAGTTATTACCATATTTAGTCTGGCTAAGTTATAGATAAAAGATTACAGATAAAAATCTCAAGATGACAGGTAAAATACTCATCAAATGAGTAGCAGACATCGTGGGGCAGAGACACGATATACAGCCAGCACATCTAATAGCAGGAGATTTAGCAATGGGGCAATCATTGAAAGATCTCAGAGAATTATAAAACATATTTTCAAATTTTGAAATAGTTAAAAGGAGTGATATATGCCATAATGAAGACTTGAAACAAAAGGAAATGGAACTTCTAGAACTTAAAAGGAAGTCTCTGGGGCTGGAACGCTAGTGTGATGCAGACTCGGCTTCGTTTCCAGGTACCGCCAGTTGGTGCTCGTAGCCCCAGTACTGACGGGCACCTCAAGCATTGCACGGAGTGGACTTGGTGTCCCCTGAACATTACTTGGAAGCACCCCCTCCCCGCAAATAATAACCCACTAAAATACAAAATCCAATAGCATGTTATATTCTAATGTGAAGTGCAGAGGTGAAGAAACATGAGTTAATTGGCAGACTATGTGTAGAAACCAGTCTATCATCTATCTATCTATCTATCTATCTATCTGTGTTTGCGTTAGGGGCCACCCCTGGGTGCTCAGGACTTACTCCTGACTCTGTGCTTAGAGATGGCTTCATGTGGGGCTTGGGGAACCATACACTCTGCTGCAAGTTAAATCTGGGTTGACCGCTGGCAAGGTCAGCATCTTCACCACTGACCCTCTGAACTATCTCTCTAGTGTCTATTATTTTCTATATCTTTTTTCTGTATTTTCATGGAAAATGGATAGAGATAGATTGTATTTAAAAGATCCTCAATACAAACGGATTAGATTTAGTGGTAAGAGGCAATATTTGGAGGGATGTTCATGGAGAATTTTACAGAATTCAAGAAATATACACCAACCCAGAGTGAAGGAATATATCAAGTTCCCAAAAAGGATACATAAAAAAGAAATTTATCTTCAGATGTATCGTATTGAATGCCATGGAGAAAACCTTAAAAACTAACCAAATGTGAAGGCAGATGACCCACCAAGTGATGACATTTATACTGTAGCAGTAATAGAAACCAGAGCTAATGTCATAGCATGTACAATTCTTTAGAGAAAACGATTGTCATCCTAAAATTTTACATACAGTTGTTGCTACCCTAAAATTTTGCGTATAGTTAAACTATCATTCAAGAATGAGAACTAAATACAAATCTTACAAGAGAATGAGATGTGAAAAAAAAAGAAAGCATTTACTATAGTCAGAAGGAAGCTAAATTATCATAAAAGAATTCAAGAATGAAGAAATAGCAGTCTTAAAATACAATAATTTTCTATATTAATTCACGAAAATATTATACAATTTTGTTTGTTTTGTTTTGGGGTCACACCCGGCAGTGCTTAGGGGCTCCTCCTGGCTCTGCACTCAAGAACTAGTCCTGGTGGTTCTCAGGGACCTTTGGGATGCCAGGGATTGAACCCAGATTGGTTGTATACAAGGCAAGCTATTGCTCCTGCCCCAAGAAAATCTTACTATATTTAAATATAAATACTCACTAAGGAAAAAATCTGTTGTTTCAACATGTGCTATATAGATATAAGCACCCAATAGCATAGTATATTGAAGTAAAAATAGAAAGTACATAGATAATAAAACATTACCTAAAAGAATTTGTGATGTATTGTGGTAGTGTTTATGTTAACATAGTAACATTAAGAACATCAGAGACGATATGCTCACTATCAGGTGAAAAAATAAAAATGCATTGGAAAAATACTTTAATGTAGTATATGAAAATCTTAAAAATGATGTTATGTATTACTTCTACTTTATTCTTTTAAAGTATTATTGCTTATATGTATTAATAAAAGAACTTTGGCATGATTTAAAATGTAGGAATGTTTATTAAATGTGACTTTTACTAAATGCAAACTATGTCTATAATTTTACAGGCGAATCTGTCCTCCCTCTCTTCCTCAGTATCTGAGAATCAGCTGGTATGTATCCTTACTCAGGCATGGACTGTACAAACATACTGATCTCACAGGAGATCTCAAGAAAGGTTTATTGAGTGAAAGTGAACAAGGCATAAATTTACTGTGTGTGGTTTCCTTTCCCTACTTCTCTAAAAACAGTTTTTGGTACTGTACTATAACTCTAGAGTGTTGTTCTGCAGTTTGAAAGCATTAAAAACAAACACTAAAGTCAGAAGCAAACAAGAAATTTAGAGAAGAGAGTATATTTTATTATGTGAAAGATCAGAAATGGATTCAAGAAGGCCACTTTTGATAACGTTCATAGTCTAGAAATGTGAAACTGGGAAAGAGAAACAGGTTACATTAATTTCAATAATGTATTTTATTTAATGAAAATAAACATCATTTTGAGATATCAGTAAAATTGGGATTTACATTAAATTAAATTTCTATGCCTGGAAAAATCTGTCGTGTATCTCAAATTTACAAAGCATCTTAATTCATACTATTTTATACTTCAGGGGTTTACTTGGTGGAGAAACTGGCTACCATATGGGAATGGGATGGCATAGATTTAGATACTAGAATCTGTTCTTTTTTTTTTTTTTGCTTTTTTGAGTCACACCTGGCGATGCACAGGGGTTACTCCTGGCTCTGCACTCAGGAATTACTCCTGGCGGTGCTCGGGGGACCATATGGGATGCTGGGAATCGAACCCGGGTCGACTGCATGCAAGGCAAATGCCCTACCTGCTGTGCTATCGCTCCAGCCCCAGAATCTGTTCTTTAGATATAAAAGTGTTATTAATTAGGTTACTTTTTAAAAATAGAGGTCCTTTAAAATGTATTTCTTAGCTTTAGCAAATTGAAATCATAAATTCACTTTGATATTGCAAGTTAAAGATTCTCTTTATACCTTATAAATGTTTTTAATTGTAGATTTCAGAACAATTGTCACCTTTAGTAAAAGTAGTGAAAATTTCCAGCAAAGCCATTCGAAGCATTAAGGAAACAAACTCTGCCTGTGGTTTAGATATATACAAGTGCCCACGCTACACCAGTGATGTGCCCAGTGATCCGCTTCCTGTCCTTCACCTCCCATCCCTCTTTTCTCCTCAGCATCTTCCCTGTCCTTCTCATTTCTGTAATAGAGTCAAGGCTGACTTGGGTACTCACCTCCCTTCCCACTTTGGTACGTTCCCCTGCATTCTCTTGTCCTGTTATTCTGTAAACCACAGAGCTAACATTAAGCGAGAGACCCAAACTCCAGTACCCAAGCTTAAAAGTGTGTGTGTTAAGGAGGCAGGCGCGGAGTGGGAGGGAAATTGGCACAGTGGTAGGTATTGTGCTGTAATATTGTATACTTGAAACTCTGTTAGGAAAAAACCTGTAAATCTAGTTGCTTTAATGGAAAAAAAAAGTAAATAATCAGTACAGTACTTAATACTGATTTCTCCTTTTGTTGAGGGTTGTTTTGGTGCCCTGTGTCAATACCTGTCCAATCATCTTGTCATGGTCATCGGTCAGGACTATTTTTATTTATTTTTACCAAAAAGTCACTTTACAAAAGCAGGGTCTTGCTTTGAAGACAGATTCCATGAAACTGGTTGATATTTTGGTGTCTGTGTTTCTAGTGGAAGTGATGTGTCTGCATGATGACGTATGCACTTCTGCAAACAGGTTTAGATGAGTGCCAGGGTACCTGCATCGTACAGTGTAAGGACTGCTGGGCTGGGAGCCTCAAAAAACCCTCTTTCACTTTTGTCTTTGCCACTGACTCCTGGGCTGACAGTGGATAAGTCACAGTTCTCGTGCCTAGGGTCTGAATCCCCTAATTGAACAAGAAAGGCGTTTTGTAACACACTTCAAGTCTCCCTAGCACTCTGAGGCTGTGATTACTAACACAGTGAAGTGAAGGAGTTGCCATAGAAACAAATACTCAAATAACAATGAAGCCTCCCAGCTTTCCATTTTAGATGTGGAAATATTGCTATTGCTATTTTAATAGTTTGAGTAATGATATACTGATTTTTTTGAGAATAAGTGTGAAAATCAGGGATGTTTTAATATTTGCTTTTATAATTTCACTCAACACACTATACAAAACAGAGATATTAAATGTAAATGACTGAATAATCATCTAACGCCTAAAATATTTTTCTGAGTTCAAACTTACATAAATATCTTCTTGTTGTTGCTGTTGTTTTAAGGCCTCCACTGGCAGTACTCAGAGCATACTTCTGTACTCAAGAATCCCTTGGGAGAGCAGAGAGACATAGCAGTTCTGGGGACTGAGCTGAGGCCAGCTGCAGGCAAAACAAGACCCTCAATCCCCCTCCCCCCACCACACTTCTCTATCCCTTAATCAGTACCTTTATATATGAGTGTAGATCATATATTATTTTTAAAACTTCTATTATAGTTTAATATATTTATACCGATAACTATATAGTATTTTGCCACTTTTTAGATGCTTGCTATGGTGTTCTACATCTTACAAGTCTGCAGGTCATCTTGCCATCAAACTAAATGAGAGTATTTTTATTTGTTAACTGAAATATAAGGGCCGGACCACTGGTATAATGGATAGGGGAATGCTTGCCTTGCCTGTGGCTGACCCGGCTTCGATTCCCAGCCTCTCATATGTGCTCCAAGATCACTCTGAGCACAGAGCTAGGAGTAAGCCCTAGCACATGCCAGGTGTGGTCCCCAAACAAAACAAGTGAAAAAATCACAAAAAACATTGCTTAGTTCTTAACAAGACTGATTTTATTATACTGCTTGCTTCTGGCATTAATATTTTAGCTAAATCCTTTTAAAACCCTTTAAAGATAATGTATAATTATTTCACAAATTGAAATATATTAAAATGTCATTGTAGATATAAAAATAAGGGTTTTTTTTGTCTAACATAATAAATCTGTTAAAAGGGGGAAAATCTAGATATTGTTTCAAATAACTTTTTTTTAATAAACACTTTTTTATTAAAGCACCATGATTTACAAAGTTCTTCATAACTGAGTATTTTTCAGTTTGGTTATTGCAAGTTTGGGTCTCATGGTGATAGTGTTCTTGGCTCTGAGATTTATACACACACATACACACACACACACATATATATAAATATATACATATATATATCACATTATGCCACAACGCCACTGATGTTTTCAAGGCCTCTCCTCCCTGTCCCTGATCCCTCCGATTTCCCCCTCTTACTTTCCTACCTATTTATTTCCTTCTTTGACTTTCCTAGTTCACTAATCTGGGGCCAAGAGTAATCTAGGTGTCTTCCCTTTGATTCTTTGCATGCTCTTGTCCTATTATTCAAAATGCCTTATATGAATGAGATCATCCAATATCTGTCCTTCTTCTGACTTTCTTTACTTCAGTTGAGATATCCTCAACTTGAGATATCGTCAAGTTCCATCCAAGTTGCTGCGAATTTCACAGTTTTATCTTTATTACAGTTGCGTAGTATTCCTCTGTGTGTTCTTGCCACACTGTCATGATTCCCTCCTCTGCTGTTGCACACCTGGGTGGATTCCATATTCCAGCTATTGTAGTGTGTTGTCATAAATAATGGTGTGCATTTGGAATGTTTTTGTATCTTGGGGTAGATACCAAAAGTGAAATTATTGGGTTATATGCCAGCTCCATTCTTATTTTTCTGAGAAATCTCCATGTTATTTCTCATAAGGGTTAAGCCAATAACTCTCCCACCAGCAGTGGATGAGTTCATTTTTACCATATTCCTGGCAGCACAGATTGCTTTTAGATTTTACTGTTATGTGTGATTCTCACTGGTGTGAGATGATATCGCTCTGTCTTCATGATTTAGACTTTCCTGATAATGAGTGAAAATAAACAATTTTTCGGTGTCTATTGGCAATCCAGTTTTCTTTATTGGAGAAGTGTTTGTTCATTTTCTCTCCCCAATTTCTCTAACACCATTTGTTAAAGAATCTATCTTTAAGACATTCATTTATCAAGCTACATTGTTGAAAATTAGCTGATCTTAGGTCTGAGGGATTTATGTTTGAGTACTTGATTCTAAACCATTGATCAGACAGTCTATCCTTATACCAATAGCATTCTATTTTGATTATGTTAGTACAAAAGTGTATATCTACCTGAGCTCAAGAGTTCTTGAGAATCGTGTAGAAGATTTGTACACGGATAGTCTATCACTTAACATAAAAAAGGAGTGAAAGGGAAGGAAGGATCTTAAGTCAAGATGGAATCTTCAAAAGATTTCTTAATTGCTGGGCCAAGTTATTTCAATATCAATAGAGTCTATTTTAATAGGGGCTATTTTCTTTGAAAAAAAAAACTATTGGACTCTGCAAAATTGGGAAAGCAGAGCTCTTTTTTTAGTGGTGGTTTGGGAAATGTTTTAAATTACATTTGGCTTTGGCTTTTGAAGTTTCATGCCATCACAAAAGTGCTCCTTGTTGCCTGAAATGGAATATTGAATCTAGAGAACAAAAGACAATTTGAAAATAGATTTTAAAAATAAGCCATATGGCTATATCCAAGTAAAAGCAAAATGTAGATTATTGGAACTCTATAAAGAAGAGTGCTTCAACTGCAGATACTTTGTTCCCAGTTCTGAATGCCCCATGATGTGCCCTGTTCTGGTGAAGCATGACTCATTTTTCTGAGGACCCTTGAGGTCTCTGTTCTTTGGAAAATGAAGCTCTGAATACTTTTATGTAGAACTGAAATCTTCTTCAAGCTTGAAACAGTTTGTCCTTGACAGGTTTCTCCTTGACTCAAGTTAAATGCTCAAGGTTCCTTCAACTATTGCGTATGCCTTCTTAGTCATGTTCTTGCCTTTCCTTTACTCATTGAATGATTTCAGTTCAACTATTATGAGCCATGTATACACTACAAAATGTATCTTGAGCCTTGGAATGTGGTTTTTAATAATTCAAGCTCTCTCTCTCTTTCTCTCTCTCTCTACAAATGCATGCTTATTTTTATGTAACTATCATGGTAACTATAAAGCATTTTAAAAAC